TTTTATATGACTTGTAGAGTGTTCAAACAGAAGATATCGTATTCTTTAAACACAACGGATATTCACTACCAGGGCATAATATTCAACAAGTCAGTTACGTTTCAGTTCAGTTACAACAACCATCTAATAAACTATGTATGCATATCTTATGAACAAAATATTCGTTTTTACAATCAGTCAATAATTATGATCACGTTATTATAGGCTAAACACAGATGGATCAATAATACCAATCACTAATCACGCACAAACATGTGCTGATATTATATATATATATATATATATATATATATATATATATATATATATATAATATATTATCAAGTGAACAAAGACAAGACAGGACAGGACAATTTCTCCATACGAAGTCACATAATAATTACTGTATGAAATTACCTGGACTTTACTTTCTTGATATGCATTTTGAAGAAAACTACAAATCACAGTAGCGGTAGTAGTAATAGTGTGTAGATGATTTTAATCATAATACCGATACGTAACAAATAATAATAATAATCATAGATGGATAGAGTTAAGAAATATAAGAAGAAAGTCAATAAAAGATTTGACTGGATTGTGTTTGTCTGGTGTCACAAAAATGTTAGCCTAAACTAGATAGAAAATTTGAAGACTTTCAAAACCAACTAATTATGATAAAATGTATGAATTAAACCATTTGACGTATTCGTACTCGCGGTTTGCCAAACTAAACAGTTAGACTAACTCAATCATAATCAATACGACGTACGCCACTCTTATTCAGATCCATTTGGACTGAGATGAAGAGATCTGATTGAGTAGCTTCTGTGGTTACGATAGATGAACAGTAATGCATCATAAATTACTTGTCCCTGGGTTCCCAGTGGAACATAGAGTTTCATTAGCACGCCTCCAGTGCACTCTGTTCTCCGCCGTCTTTTCAACCTGGCTCCACACCACTGCCAACAAACTTTCATTTCTTCCTCGCATGATCTCCTCCATATCACCCTCACATCACACGCCCGACTCGTCGCTTCCCACTTGGATTCCACTTGAGGACCTGACGCGTGACGTCCCCAATCAGCATTCTCCGTGTACGCCTAAACCATCTCCACTTTCTTCTGTATACTTTTTGGGTGACAGGTTGTTGGTTGGTTCGTTCCCAGAGTTCCTTGTTGCTTATTTTTTCTGGCCATCCCATCTGATCTTCAGTATCGAGCGTAGGCAGCTGTTGACGAATGTCTACAGTTTCTTGGAAATACTTTCCGTAACGCACAAAGTCTCACAACAATCACATAGAAGCATTGAGTTGACTGAATTGATGTTGAAAATCCGAATCTTGTTCTTCATGCTGAGTGCAGTACATCTGCACACTGATTTCACATTATTTAAGGTCTGTAATGCTGTCTTTCCGTTCCTGGCTTTCACATCCTCGTCTGTGCATGTGCCGTCTTTAGTTGAAACGATGCTGCCTGGGAAGTTGAAAGAGACAACTTCCTTAAGATTTCTCCCGCCTATGATGACTAATGCTAGTTGTTGTTGTTTGTTGGGTATCTTCATCACCTCTGTCTTCTCTACATTCACTTGAAGTCCGGTCTTCGTTGCCCAACCTCCTCTATCAACTTGTTGGATTTTGCCTGTGCATCTTCAAGTTTGTGCGACATTAGACTAACATAATTGGCAAAATTCGAATCTCCTAGGCTCTTTTCATCGGTCCAGCCAGCATATGCCCATCTTCTCATAGCTCCTCACGGTTTACTGAATGATTCAGTCCAGTCGACCACAATCAGGAAGATGATCGGTGATAGTAGGCGGCAACCTTGTCTTACTCCTTCCTGTCTTCACTTCAAAGGCGTCACTCAGCTTTCCCTTGTCAATCACTTGACATGTAGCGTCGTCATATAGCATATAGCTGTTGAAGCAGTTTCCAAATTACTTCTCCGTCAACGCTGTCGAAGGTCTTTACAAAGTCGATGAAGTTGAAGTAGAGATTTGACTCCCGTTGTATGATGATGGGTAGCGTTGCGATTTGGCTCGCAGATGGTTTGTTCTTCCTGAAGCTAGCTAGCTAGACAGCGTGTTCCGGTCGTAATTCTGAATCCAGGGCATTCTTTAGTCTCTCCAGGGTGATGCAGCTTACTATTTTGCTTGCTAGGGGTGAACAGTGACAGGAGCTTGATTCCTCGCCAGCACTCACAAAGACTTAGGTCTCCCTTCTTTGGAAGTTTGGTAAAATAGCCCTTCTTCCAATCAACTGGCAGGCACCTTTCCTTCCTTCCTTCCTTACAAACCTTCTGTAATAGTGGTGTGAGCGTGTTCGCTGTTGTCTCTATGTCCGTTTTCAGTGCTTCTGGTGGAATCCCATCTGGTCCTACTGCTTTACCGGATTTCAGCAACTTTTTAGCCTTCAGGACTTCACTTCTGCTATGTCGGAGGGCTTGTGTTCACTGGTAATTCTGTGACTCGGCTGCTGGTGGTATTTCTCGACGAGTTGCAGCTGGTAGTGGTAGTCGACTCATGAGTTTTTTGAAGTGGTCAGCCCATGGTTTTCTCCCTTTGTTTCTCCTCTTTGCTAACTAGCTTTCCTTCACTGTCTCTCACTGGTTTCATCTGCGTTGATCTCTTCCCTACCAGATAGTAACCTGGTTATTTGATATAGTGTTGTCAGGTCTCTGTCTCTCTTACTTGCAGCCTGTTCTGCTTCACCTGCAAGTGTGTCCTAGAAGTAAGTGTCTTTTGTCTTTGCACGCACTCTTCTTCACTCATTCGTCCAGTGTAGTGTTTTATAGGTTGTGTTCAGTTCCTCTTTTCGTTGTTCATTCTTGCACTACACACTGCACTGGTTCATCTCCGGTTTCACTATTTTCCTCTCCCTCCTCTATCAGCTTCCATATGTCTGTCGAGATCCATTCCTCGTCTCGTCTCGTCTTCTTTCTTCTTCCTTGCTAATACGGTTATGCAGGTTTCTTTCCACATCTCCTTCAAAGAGTTCCAGTGTTCATCCACCCACGTTTCTCAGGGATGTTGCTCAATGTTATGTCTCCCATTTTGTCATAATGACTGCTTGACGTGAAGATGTCCTTTGTAGTTTCGTCCTTCAGTTCAGTCTGTGTTCTGGGTGGGTGTTGAACTTGAACTGTGGCCTCTCACCAACTTCTTGAAGACTTTCAACTTGATTTTGAAGCTATGTAGGTTCCTTGCACTAGATAGTGAGTGGTGTGAACCTACATCTGCTCTCCTTCCTCTATCTGATCTTGTGTCCAGTAGGCTGACTGTGTCTCCACTTTTTTCACATTGAGATGAAGTCGATGTGAAGTGGATTTTTAGTGTGTCTTGGTGTCTGGTGAAATCAAATCCATGTCGCTGCCCAGTGAATATTCTTATGCTTGTACACACTGCCTCGCCTCCAATCACCAAGTCGTTGAATGCTCAGAAGTCTGCAAGCAGTTCTTCATTCTCAATCATTTAGGATACCACTGATTGATAGATAGTGATGGTGAGCATTAAAATTTGAATAAGACTGAGATAAGTTCAAACTCTGCATAAACTTCCTGCCGTTTCTTTTATAATTCATTTAACTATAATATACTAAAATGTAATTAATAGTGGAACTCGACAATCAAGTAAAGGTTAGTTTAACCAGCAATGAGCAATATCTGTTGTATAAAGGTCTCAATGTTACCCAGTTATCCGAATATTATTAAGTAGGATAAAAATAAGTTTTGAATAATTTGGTCTAATCAATTAAATGGCAATTTTCCAGCTTTTTGTGTTATTATTATTATATCATTTGTCCCTTGGGTTCCTAATGGAACATGGGGCATCAGTAACACGTCCCCATTCCACTCTCTTCTCTGCAAACTTTTGAACCTGGCACCACCACTGCCCAGAAGCTCTCATTTCTTCCTCGCACGATCTCCATGTCACCCTCGCCTCCAACGCGCAACTCGTCTCTTCCCATCTGAGTTCCACTCGAGGGCGTAGTGTGTCGCGTAATGTCCCCAGTCGGCCTTCTCAGTGTATGCCTAATCCATCTCCACTTCCTTCCACTGCATATTTGTTCAGCGATAGGTTGTTGGTTGGTTCGTTGGCCGGTGAGAGTTCCTTGTTGCTTATTCTTATTATTCTGGCCATCCCATCTGATCTTCAGTGTCAGTATCGAGTGAATGTAGGTGGCAGTTGTTGATGAATGTGTGTAGTTTATTAGGAATGCCTTTCGTACGCGCCAAGTCTCTGAGCCATACAGAAGCAGTGACTTGACTGAATTGGTGTTGAAAATCTGGATGTTGTTCACGCTTTATGCTGAGTGCAGAAGATCCCCACACTGGTTTCAGGTTAATGAACGCCTGTCTTGCTGTTTTTTTCGATCCTGGCTGGCTTTGACGTCCTCTTCTGTGCCTGTGCCGCCTGTAGTCGAAACAATGCTGCCTAGATAGGTGAAAGAGGCTACTTCCTCCCATTGATGGTGATTGGAGCTTGTTGTTGTTGTAGGTGTTGGTTGGGTATCTTCATCAACTCTGTCTTCTTTACGTCCACTTGAAGTCCTGTCTTCGCTGCCTCTCCTGCCAACTTGTTAGTTTTCACCTGTAGATCTTCAAGTTTGCATGACACTAGACATAAGTTATCGGCGAAATCTAAATCTCCTAGGTTCTTTTCTGCGGTCCAGCGTATCCCAGCTTTTTGTGTTAGAAGTTAGTTAATTTGAAGAAAGTCCTACTTGACCTGGGTTTCGCGTTTGTTGGGACTCATAAGAAAGGTGTAACTATAAATGTGAGAAAACTGGCGTTCTCTTGGCGAACCAAACATGCACCAGTCAGTACTCAAAATTGCAGGACTTTATCACTGGTTCACTACACAGTAGAAAACAGGAACAAATCCTTGACTCTTGATTGATTTATGTGCAGACAGACAAACATAGGAGCCATGAAAAGAATAGTATAATTAACTTTAATAAGATAAATGGCTATCAATAAAGGGGAATATTAACCAATACATATATAGGGTAGAAGAAAGACACTTACTTGTGCAATACATGACATGATGCCAACAACAGCAATGAAAAGTGCTACATTTTCTTCAGAAAATCCCATCACCTAAGAGGAAAAAGAAGACATGAGATATATAAAAATCAGAAAAAAACATAAAACGACATCAATAATTAGAATTTTAATGATGCCTTTCTATTGTCCCGTCGTTGATTAGACCGGCGGATGCTTCGGCACTGCCTCCGTTTCACTTTTATGTTAACGATGGATAGTTTCTAGCAGTGTAATTCAGGATGCATGTTTCGTCCTGTTGGGGAACCGTTAGCTGGATGTACCTGCCTTTCAGTGAGCGATATTGTCCCCAGGAGCCCATATGCCAATAGAGACCTGTCGATTCGGTTCAATCAACGACCGGATGATATAAGTGAGAATATTAACTCGGTGGCCTAGTGGACAACGCTCTGGTGTCTGAAGCGATTGTCCCGACTTCAAGCGTTAGTCGGAACATCACTCACTGGGAGACAAGTACATCCGGCTAACGAAGCCCAAATAGGACGAAACACGCATCCTGGATTCCACTGCTAGCCACTATTCATCATTAATGATCAGAACAGGCAACAAAAAAATCATCATGTACACTGTTAACATAAACAATGCTCAGCCACTACCGATCTCAGTACATATCTTGCTTAACATGATCATTTTGGCAGCTTTAATGAATATTGAGCTGTGGATCAATGGTTTAAGATGTACCATCTTCTACAACCGCCCGATTCTAGGTGCAAGAAACAAAGATAAAATGCCTGATTCTGCCACTTCCATGTGCATTCATCATTTCAACTGCTCCTGTGGAACTAGTTAGTGGGCGTACAATGAGGCAGTTCTGTGGTCGAATTTCTAAGCACTACTCATCAATGGTTGAACAAGGGACAAATTAGAACAATAAAGAGCTGCATACTTCCACACCTAGTTGACACCGGACATCAAGTGGATACTAGATAAGCTTTCAAAATCATCCATCAGATTCCAATTAATTTACCTCATGGATTACGTACTCGCTTACTTCACATAGCAGAGGCGATTGCAACCCCCACCTTTACAAACCCAACCTTTGTATCCAAAAGAAGTTTGTTCCACCACTTTCATTACCGTGGCCGTTAACATGATGTAACTTTCAGGATTACTTTGTATACCTCTTCCTCTTCTTGTTTCTACTAATATTCATTTGTCTTCTTATTCTTACGTAATCGCTTACTGTGAATGACTGAATACTCACGAAAAATCACTCCATTTACCTGCTTCATATTTTCAATTTCAGTAATTCTATTGATTATTTACATCATTATTTCTGAAACATCACCACATGATTGGTAATTTGATTAAATTGTAAAACTATATATTAGTGTAGGACCCAAGACGAAGACCTAATTGAAAAGGAATATATTTTTTCACTCAATCAGTTTTTTTTCTAGATGACTATTACAACCACTGGGTCACGGGTTAGGGCTCTGCCTCATCTACCGAAGTAACTAATTTTGTTAAGTATGTAGGTAACATAACAGCATCTATGCCGATTATCTCCTATTTAGATTGTTCTCAGTTGAATAATTTCTTAACCGAAATCGGCTAGTGGACTTCCTTAAATGACATCAGGCTGAAACCTTCAAAATGTCACGTAGTTGAATTTAGCCTAAGATCTGAACGAGACCTTCGCGAATTGCTTCAGTTCCACGACTCTTGTTTTATAGATTGCTCAATTGTAGAGAATGTATGGAGTGTGAAACATCTTGGTTTATATGTATTTTGATCTTTTCCTGGACCCTCCATATTTCACTGATTTTAAGGAAAGCAAACTTAGACTTTATGGCATAATTCAACCTCTATTCTTACATTTCGGTGTGATCTGTGTTTTGTCTATACCTTATTTATTGTTCCCTCTAATTCTTTCATAGACTCCGGAAAAGTGAATATACTGTATAGCGTAGAATTTTCAAGGCTGTCAGTAGATTGAGTAGCACACCAAAGACAGTAGTGATAAACTCGGTTAAGCAAAGTAGATACAAATATTTTATCCATGCATCCGCACCACCTTCAGTTCTCGAGGAAGACGAGAAGTAACTGCACTAAACTTTATGCATGTACAGACTATATACAGAAATCCAATTATGCCTTATTTAGCTTGTATACTCTATGTGAAGAGAAGCATATAAGAAACAGTCTTATAAATCAACTTTGTGATGATAAACAGCTATCATAACCCTGATGTTATTAAGCATTCCAAGAAAAGTATTCTTAAGTTAATTGAACTCTCAAAGTTTTTAAATGAACAAACATCTATCACTTGACTGGTGAATGATTTCAGGAAGTGAAATTCGGTAATATCCTGAGGTAAACAAGAAAAAAAACGCATATAATTGACTATATTAAGTGGGTAGACGTATACTTGCTAATGAATGATCACAGCAATTCATGTATTATATGATGAGGAATACTACTTATTGATTTCTGCTTTGGTAACTTGATGACAATATGATTACTTTGAGATATGAACAAGAGATTTGACCATATCAAGCTTGATGTCTTAATAAGGTCTCTGGTGTACACTCCCAATGGGTTGTCATCATCATCATCATTATCAACATAGGACCAGGCATTACTGCGTAACGGTCCAACTTGCCACACCTCATATCAGCACATCAAGTAAAAAGGTAGTGAGGTGAAGGATGAAAATTGTCACGATATCTATCTGTTTTATTTGTCGTACACCTATCCAGGAAGAAGTGCTCAATATTCAAATACAATTAGGTGAAACAGCTTTCAAACCTGTGAATCAATGTATCAGTCAGTCAGTCAGTCAGTCAGTATCAATATGTAACAGTATATATTACCACATCTCGTATCATCACATTAAGGTAGAGTGGACCAAGGTGAAAAATACAGAAATAAGGAACCAGTACAATTAATTGAATGTCTAGTCCCCTAACATCTTGACTCGACACTTTATAAATGAATAAAACAAACTGAGATTATCAAAACAAAAGCAATGAAAATCTGCAAATCAACTTACCAAGCGTAGATAAACAAAGAAACATGAATACTGTCCAGCTTCGGGTAGATAAGATAAAAACGTTGTAATGCATATCATAAGGACGAGATGATCATTAGTCATTTGACGTAATGTCTAGAAAGAAAAAGCAGATAATAATTAGACAGTTCAATAGTCAACCCATTCTGCTTGACATTAGCTAGAGACTGAACACAGAAGATGAGTAAGTAATGAACAATTGCTTTACCCCCAATGAGCCATCCTTTCCCCATGTCTTATCTCATACTTTCTGCATGACCTATCATCTTCAGCTGGTATCAATTTCATTAAATATCCTGATGACCTAACAGTTTCCACGCCTATCTCCTCTTCAACTGAGTGATTTCCTACCTATTGTTAGACGATGATCCTCCAAGAATGGTGTTATGCCTAATTCTTCAAAATGTCAAACTATAAACTTTAGTTTTAGACGTGAACATAACTTGTGTAAACTGATTAGTTCTCATGATTCCTGTTTTGTTGATAGTTGTGCATTAGAGAATGTTACAAGTGTGATTTATTTTGGTGTGCGCTTTTCTTCGAACCTTTCCCGGTCCTCCCATATCTCACTAATTTACAAAAGAAGCTGAGAGTATCTGGTATAATGATCTAAAGGAAGAACAAGTATATTTCAACGAAGAGTCCCTTTTCGGTGGTTTCATTTTCAAAGCTGTACAATCGCAAATTTATACACTTTTCTAATGTAAAGATTTGATAGTTAAAAACGGTTTGTACAGCATGGCAATACAAATATAATGTCAATAAATGGGCTGTCATTAAAATCAGGAAGTTACCTGGCGATTGGAAGAAGGGTTACCTTGTCAAACTGCCGAAGAAGGGAGACCTCAGTGTTTGCAAGAACTGGCGAGGAATCACTCTCCTGTCCACCCCAAGTAAAATATTAAGCCGCATCATCCTGGAGAGGCTTAAAGATGCGCTGGATTCGAAACTACGACCGGAACAGGCTGACTGAATTCAGGAAGTACAAATCATGTGCAGACCAAGTTGCAACGCTACACTGCACATCATCATAGAACAGAGTATAGAATGGCAATCAGCCCTCTACCTCAACTTCATCGACTTTGAGAAGGCCTTTGACAGCGTCGACCGAGAAGTAATTTGGAAACTGCTTCAATACTACGGAGTACCGCAAACCTTTATCCGCCTCATTCAACAACTATATGAAGATGCCACATACCAAGTAATTCACAATGGGAAGCTCAGTGATGCTTTTGAAGTGAAGACAGGAGTGAAACAAGGTTGCCTACTATCCCCCATGATATTCCTTATTGTGGTCGACTCGACTGGATCATGCAGCAAACAGTGGGCAGCGAGAAGAGGGTAATACACTGGACTGCGGAAAAGAACCTAGAAGACTTGGATTTCGCCGATGACTTGTGCCTAATGTCACATAAACTTGAAGATCTGCAGGCAAAAACTAACAAGTTGATAGAGGAGGCAGCGAAGACGGGACTTCAAGTTAATATTGAGAAGACAGAGGTGATGAAGATACCGCACCACCACCATCAACAACAACAACAACAAACTCCAATCACCGTCAACGGGAGAAACTTAAAGGAAGTAACCTCCTTCACTTATCTAGGAAGCACTGTTCCAACTACAGGCGGCAAGACGAGGACGTCAAAGTCAGAATCGGAATCGGAAAAGCAAGACAGGTGTTCATTAGCCTGAAACCAGTGTGGAGATCTTCTGCACTCAGCATGCGGAACAAGATACGGATTTTCAACACCAACGTCAAGTCAGTGCTTCTGTATGGTTCAGAGACTTGGTGCGTCACGAAAGGCATTTCCAATAAACTACAGACATTCATCAACAACTGCCACCTACGCTGGCTCGCTACTGAAGATCAGATGGCCAGAAAGAGTAAGCAACAAGGAGCTCTGGGAACGAACCAACCAGGAACCTATCACGCAACAAATATGCAGGAAGAAGTGGAGATGGATTGGGAATGCACTGAGAAGGCCGACTGAGGACATCACGCGTCAGGCCCTCGAGTGGAATCCCCATGGGAAGCGACGAGTTGGACGTCCGAGGGTGACATGGAGGAGGTCTGTCGAGGAGGAAATGAGAGCTTCTGGGCTGTCGTGGAACCAGGTTCAAAAGATCTCAGAGAACAGAGTGTACTGGAGACGTGCTACTGAAGCCCTATGTTCCACTAGGAACCTAAGGGACTAATAATAAAAAAAATAATAATACATTAAAATCAGAAAAACAAATCAAAAACCGATGAGTAGTGAATACTAATCAAAATAAGTTTGAACAAGAAGTTTGGAAACTGAATTGTGATCAGGCAGAATGAGTAGCAAATTACTTCAGAAGTGAATAGTGTCAAAACAGAAGGATGAAAAGAAAAAAAGGAGGGTAGAGGAAACTTAAAACTAAGACCATGAAAGAAGAAGGGGTTGAAGAGTCTTCTTTTGTGTACACAGTTCAGGCTTCTTCGTTTGGATGGCAAGAGCTTCGGCAATGCAGAGACTACGAAGAGGTTTCTTTACACTTCATAGATGACTTTAGACGAGGTTTTTGAGATAGGGTGATTTGTGTTCACGATGTGTTCAATTATAGTCATGATTGACAAACCGTTTTTAACTATCAAATCTTAACATCAGAAAGAAGTATAAATTTGAGATTGTACAGCTTTGAAAGTGAAATCGCCGAAAAGAGTCTTCGCTGAAATATACCTGTTCTTCCTTCATATCTGGTATAACTCAGCCTCTCCTCTTGTGTTTTATAAACTCCTGCATCTTACCTATCCTCCTCTATGGTTCCCCTTTATTTTTTCTCAGGTCGCTGAAAACAGACTATGCTATATTGTGTAGAACTTTGAAGATTGTCGTCAGAAATAGAGTGGTGTACCTCTAAACCTCCTAGTTAAAACAGTTGTAAACAAACACATTAATTCATGTAAACATCTGACTAAAGTTATTTTATCAGATGACCAGCATCTTCTTCAGTCAAATCTCTGAGTGTCGGTCATCAGGAAAGACGAGGAGCAAGTATATAAGACTCTATGCACCTACTACAAAATATAGAAATTCTACGATACCGTAGGTATTTGGCTTGTCTGTTGTGTGATGAAAAATGTATTAGAAATGAACTAACTAATTAACTTCTGTTTTTGAAAGCAAACTAACTGAAGATGAGCGTGTTACGTTTTACACATTATGAATGTAATTACCTAAACTGACTGTGCAGTTTGAAGAAAGTTGTAGATAGAGCGAATATTTTTACCTTTTATGTATGTAATTTCTACTTATTTCATTTTGTTATGTATATATGTACACTGTCTCTGCTCAATTGATGCTATATGACATGCTGAAAATTCTGTAGAGTATTCTCGAAATATCTTTCAGAATAAAGCCATTATTGTGATTATTACTACTATTATTATTAACCTGAGACACTTCAGCGGTACACCCTTAACTATCACTGAGAAGTAACATGTGTTTTACTGGGTTAATATTTAACAGACTATATTTTTGAGATTCAAGAGACTAGCGATATACAGCAAATACTATTCCTAACAGCCAATAATCTTCAGTCGTTATTCACGACTTTGTGCACACCACAGATTAGTAATTGTGAAGTTCATCTAAATTTTAGTCGTTAACAAGCACTAAATTCTGGTTCGATTAAATGGTAAATGTGGAATTAGTTCGTCTGATGACTTTTACTGCATTTAAAAAGTTATATGCGATATTAGAAGATTACAGTAGGATACTGGAATAAACCATGGGCAACCTGACTGTTTTGTTGCCAGTTTGTTTAATTTTGTCTACTATAAAAGGGGATAACATAAATTATCGTTTTATTATCATTATTATTTGTCTCTTGGGTTCCTCCTAGTGGGACATAGGGTTTCAGTAGCACGTCGCCATTTCACTCTCTTCTCGGTAGTCTTCTCTTTTAACCTGGCGACACAAATGCCCATAAGCTTTCATTTCTTCCTCACACCATCTCTATGTAGCCCTCACCTCCAACTCGTCATTTCCCATTTGGATTCCACTCGAGGACCCGGCCTGGCGCGTGATGTCCCCAGTCAACCTTCTTAGTGTATACCCAATACATCTCCACTTTCTTCTGCATATTTGTTGTGTGATAGATTCTTGGTCGGTTGGTTCGTTGCTAGCCAATCAGCCAGAGTTCCTTCTTGCTTATTCTTTTGGTTATCTCATCTTCAGTATCGAGCGAAGGCAGCTGTTGATGAATGTCTACAGTTTCTTGGAAATGCTTTCCGTAACGCACTAACTTTCTGAACCGTATAGAAGCACTGACTTGACTGATACTAGTGTTGAAAATCCGAATGTTGTTCTTCATGCTGAGTGCAGGTGCAAAGCAGTAGATACTTAAGGAAGGTCTGTCCTGCTGTCTTTCCGTTCCTGGCTTTCACATCCTCGTCTGTGCATGTGCTGTCTGTAGTTGAAACGATGATGCCTAGGTAGATGAGACAGAACTTCCTTAAGATTTCTTTCGCTCATGATGACTAATGCTTGTTGTTGTTGTTTGTTGGGTATCTTCATCACCTCTGTCTTCTCTACTTTCCCCTGAAATCCTGTCATCGCTACCCTGCCTATCCTACCAGTTTGTTAGTTTTCGCCTGTAGACCTTCGAGTTTGTGCAACAGTATACATAAATAATCGCCGAAATAAAAGTCTTCTAGGCTCTCTTCATCAATTGCAGACTAATGACATTCTAAACGTAAAACAAGTGTCTCCACTTCTTCACCTATTCTTTCCATCACTTTGCCTCATTTTTGTAAATGATGTACCGGTATTCTTGATGGTTCATCATAATCCTACTCCCCCTTATGACATTCCGTTGGATGAACAACAGGCTTACAGAGTTACAAAGACATTTTTACTCAGTTATCGGTTAATTCCTCCTTCTTACATATGATCATGATTAAGAAAAGTGATGTTTACGATTTTATAGGTACAATAAAATCACCGTCACTAATTGTATTCACTAGTTGTTGAGACGGATTGATTACATACTCAAACATACCAACACAAATATACACCCATCATGAGAGAGAGTAAGAAAAATAGATACACTTATACGACAGTAACAACTACTGTACTTCAAATCCACACAAAACCGATAAGAGTTAAATGTTCTAGTTTTCTTCTGTTTTTCTTTGAATGCACACTGCGCATAAATCAATCAATAATAGTCTATTGAACAATACTGACCATGTTAACGCTTTATTCATGCAATAAAATACAGCAATGAATCACACATCATCATCATAGGGCCATACACAAAACCTATACAAGTCATAGATAGATAGAAAAATCAGTAGTTAATACTTTCGTGATTTAGACACACTTAAGCATGTTTTTGTTTGATTGTTTACTTTCATTTTTGAACGCGAGAAATTTTAAAATTATACGCCACGTAAGGGAGTGACTTCAAAAGTCACCCTAGCAACTGTTGAGATAATCAATGAGGTTTTGGTATTTCGGCTAGAATGGTAGGTTTTTAAAAATAAAATAGAGAAACATGATTGGTTATTTCACCAGTTGTTGGGATGGCTTTTAAAGTCACCGATACGAGGAGGGAGTAACATGCAATCCTAGCAACTTCAAAAACTTTTTTGATAAAAATGGAGAAATCTGATTATTTCAGTGGCCATTAGATTGACTTCTAAAGCCACTCCATATATGAGCTATTCAGTTCTCATTGATAGGCTTCTACTAAAGACGTTATAGACACTGGTCTCGAGATGGATTTCTTGAAGTTGTAATGAGAAGCTGTGACCTGTGGCTGTGCCGATGATGTTGGATAATGATGGCAGCAGATATCGAATAAACAGACGTAGAAGGGTATAAAACATTGAACTGTAATCTAGAGGATGAGTGGTATTATGCTCATCGCAGGGCCCAGCAGTCATGGACTCGATCACCAATGTGGTCAATGGTGGGCACGGTTGAAGAGTCCTGAACTAGAATGAAACACTTGTCTAATGCTCTCAAGTTTTCAATGGTTCTCCAAGTGATGTCAATCGGCGATGAAAACCACTTTAAAATCACTAATGGAACTAAAAATAAGTTGTACGACCGTCTGTTAACACTCATTAAACTCTATCAACATCACCGTGGCAGTGAAATTGTTTCATTCGTTTAGGCAATCGACTTTCGCTAAAAGGATTATTTTTTTTTCCCTTGGGTTCCTACTGGAAAATAAGGTTTCAGTAGCACGTCCCCATTCCACTCTCTTCTCTGCAGTCTTTTCAACCTGGCTCCACCACTGCCAACAAACTTTTATTTCTTCCTCACATCATCTCCATGTCACCCTCGCCCCCGACGCCCAACTCATCTCCCCTTTGGATTCCACTCAAGGGCGTGGCCTGGTGCGTGATATCTCCAATCGGCCTTCTCAGTGTATGCCCAATCCATCTCCACTTCCTTCACTGCATATTTGTTCAGCGATAGGTTGTTGGTTGGTTCGTTGGCCGGCGAGAGTTCCTTGTTGCTTATTCTTATTATTCTGGCCATCCCATCTGATCTTTCAGTATCGAGTGAGTGTAGTGGCAGTTGTTGATGAATGCATGTAGTTTGTTGGAATGCTTTTCGTGACGCGTCAAGTTTCTGAACCATATAGCAGCAATGACTTGACTGAATTGGTGTTGAAAATCCAGATCTTGTTCTTTATCCTGAGTGCAGTAGGTCTCCATAGTGATTACTTTTCCGATCCTGGTTTCGACATCGTCGTCTGTACCGCCTGTAGTTGAAACGATCCTGCCTGGGTAGGTGAAAGAGGCTACTTCCTTTAGGTTTCTCCCATTAATGGTAACTGGTGCTTGTTGTTGGTTGGGTATCTTCATCACCTTCATCTTCTCTACACTCACTTGAAGACCCGTTTTCGCTGCCTCTTCTGTCAACTTGTTGATTTTTGCCTGCAAATCTTCGATTTTGTGCGACATTAGGCATAAATCACCGGCCAAATCCAAATCTTCTTCTTTTCATCGGTCGTGTATCCCTATTTTCACGCTCCTTACAGTTGTCTGCTGCATGATCCAGTCGACCACAATCAGGAAGATCATGGGTGATAGTAACGACAACCTTGTCTTTCTCCTGTCTTCACTTCAAAGGCGTCACTGAGCTTCCCATTGTCAATCACTTGGCATGTGGCGTCTTCATATAGCTGTTGAAGGAGGTTGATAAAGGTTTGTGGTACTCCGTAGTATTGAAGCAGTTGCAAATTACTTCTCGGTCGACGCTGTCGAAGGCTTTTTCAAAGTCGATAAAGTTGAGGTGTAGAGTTGACTGCCATTCTACACTCTGTTCTATGATGATGCGTAGCGTAGTGTTGCAATTTGATCTGCAAATGATTTGTTCTTCCTGAAGCCAGCCAGCCAGTTCCGGTAGCAATTTTGAATCCAGCCCATACTTCAGTCTCTCCAGGATGATGTGGCCTAATATTTCGCTTGGGGTGGACAGCGACAGGAGCTTGATTCCGTGCCAGTTCTTGCAAGACTTAGTCTCCCTTCTTCAATCAATCGATAGGTACCTTTCCTTTTTTCCTTGTAAGCCTTCTGCAGTAGTAGTGTGAGCATGTCCACTGTTGTCTCTGCATCTGTTTCCAGTGCTTCTGGCGGAACTCCACTGGCCCTGCTGCTTTACCGGATTTCAGCAGTTTTATGGCATTCAGGACTTCTGCTTTTGTCGGAGGGCCTGTGTTACTGGTAATTCTGCCATTGCTGATGGTATTTCTGGACGAATGTAGGTGGTGGTCGATTCAAGAGCTTTTTGAAGTGGTTATATATCGAGGTTAAAACAACTAGCAAAGTTCATCAAGAATGTTTGCTATTACTATTTTTACTCACATTGGTCACGAGCATACTGACATATATCATTCTATCTACTCTTCACGTTTTAAGGGTTCATTTGTAATCCAGAAAGACCCTAGTAAAATCATATTTTACTGATAGCATAGTTCTACTCCACGGAGATGTTGACAAACACCTTAAGGAAACATAGGATTATGTTAGGAATACATCTCATGGCTGTCCGTTGTTAGATGACGTTTTAGGACTGCTTCTAAACAGTACCAAAGTTTTAAGATCTGGAAGGAAGTGGCTCACTGGTCTAGGCGTTGACATTCAACTTATGAGTCTCACACATTCCAACACCCTCCATCTACCGAGATCTGGGCAACCAGGTGTGGCTTACTGTCTACTCCATGAATGTGCATGTAATTGTTGAGTGCATTTCAATTCAACTTTCAGTTAAACACGTTGACCCCTTTTATTATTATTTGTGAAGTTGCATCAATCTTGATGAGATTATTCCTGACAAAATCCCAGCATGAATACAAAAAACCTGTTTAGAATCAGTTAGCACCTGCAAACTTTCCGGCTACTTATCAAAAAGTAAGTGGATTGAGAAACGCTCGTCTATTCTACTCTACGGCTGTTAAATACAAACCTCAAACGTGCGTGGCATGAGGAAGATAAGTTTCTTCAAAACATTGCTTGTACACTCTTGAACCATAAGATGAGAACTATTAAAGATGGATGTAAAGTTCTTACCAAAGAAGGCGCACCCATTGACAAGGTACTGATGAACTTACATTGAAAGAAGCTGAGGTATGTTACGCACCTGAAATTATCGTGTTCCTCGATGCGTAATTTCAACTGGTGCAAGTTTAGATGAGAAAAAAGCTAAAATTGGTTTGACCGACAAAATATAAATCCAAACTATTGGTTTGAACTGAATAGGAAGATGTAGTTTGCTCGATTAATAGGACCATCAAGACGTTATGGAAAGAGATTTTGGAGAAGGATTTCAGTGACTGTCGTGAGGCCCCAGTTTTGCATAAAAGATTGTTATTGACCTGAACATTTTTAACTTGGCATTCTGACACCATTTTTACGGCATGACTAGTAGTTTATTTTCTGCCCCCATTGTAATGCAATTCGCTGATTGGTTAATCTTTACTCTTACTATGCCAATGTCTCAAATTGCGGACAAGGTCATTTTCATATATGTACTTACGTGTTATGGATTTATTACATTCTCGGAGAAATAAACTCTCCTATCATCCAGTCCTCGGTCTTTCGGCTATAATACACGTTTTTACACGTCCATCGTGTCTTCTCGACTAATTAGTCGGGTCGCGAATCAACCAGGAATTTGTTGAATATTGGTGGTGGCTGACAGTCGATATCTGTGCATCGTTAGCGGTTACAGTATATACCAGTCTCCAAATCATAACAGTGATACACATCAAAATCGACAACAATGGTGCGGATAAAAATTCACTCTTCATAGTCTTCAAAAGTATGAAAATTCTAATGGCCTTCTTTTTCAAATTCTTTTTGTTGATTCTAACACGTTTTAAACTCTCTTTGATTAGCTCTTTCTATGCTGCTTTAAAACAGAAGATTCAGCCAATCCACTTCTATGGGAGAATCCAGGCCGTTCTGTTTGTCAATCACTGACCCAACTCCCTTTTACCCACTTATAGAGGATTAAATTCAGGTAAATGGTTGACAGTTAAATAACAACTGAAGCTCATAATTTAGTATATGGAGTTATGTAAAGTTTCTGAGTTGCTTTGTATTAATTTTTTGTATTACTCTGTTTACTCTGATCTCGTTTATGGCAATCAATGTACACAATACGAACCCCACTGAAAGTTAAGTGCAATCTGATTTAAACTCAGTAGTAACCCACCCGATTGTGATACTCAACAATACAAAACTTGCACAACACAAGGTATCAAACATTGTCTACTAAAATTTAAAACAATACATAGTAAGTATAATATCATGAATACTAATAACAACTAGGTCTTACTGCAAAAGGGTCAGCTTTGCCCCATGAGAATTTACTGGTCGGTCCACCCAGTGTAGATACAGAGCACAAATGACCAATACGTACTTTTTCAGGGAGGGATTCAGGTACACAGGCAAGAATAAAACAAATATCTAGAAATGCAATAGCTGTAGCCAATGCTACAACAAGTTCTTCACTATACACTCGACCTAGATAAGCTCCGATTGCAGGCGAACTGACAAGACTAGCTGCGAATGTAGCTGAAACCTGACCAAAGAAAATAAACAACATTGCATAAATTTTTGTACGAAGAAAGGTAAGACAAAGTTGTATTAATGCGAAAAAACAAACATGTGTAATTTATCAACTGTACTGAAGTGTGAAGCTGTGGCTCATTATTCAAGGAGATGACTATCAACTATTGGGTCGCGGGTTCCAGCCGTGTCCCATCTACTAAGGTTTGGGCAGGCAGGTAGTATTACTGGCCCTTACACACTAGGTATGGTTCACTGTCTACTGCACGAATGTGCACGGAATAGCTAAGTGCGTTTTATTTTTATTTAACTGCACAATTGTGAGCCACATTATTGAGGAGTTAAGCTAATTATCAACCTGAATTTATTCAGAAATTCTAAAGGATGTATGAAAAAAAGGAAACATGAGCAATGAATGAAACATGACTACGAAAGAATTTGAGGCCTCTGAAGTATAATCATATAAGGAAGGGAGATCAGAAAACCTATGTAGGATTTTCAATAAGACTGGAATTACGGTGATGTTTAAACCTGCAAACTCACTACTCAGAGACAAACTTTTTCGGCCTAAGGATTTTATTGACTCAGTTCAATAAAATAATAATTCAACCTACCACATACATTGCAGTGACTTCGAGGTCAAGTGCATAGGTTAAACTAGCAGATTTAAGTGAGTCAGATTAGTAGAACATAGGAACCTAGAGCTAAGTCTAGATTAATAGACCATACTAAGGTAAACAATCTAGAGAATTTAGCCATTGCTATGCATGCGATGACACAACCAAAAAAAATAAGGGCGGGACAGTAACAGTCCCAATGACTAAGGTGAAGTGGAGCAGGAGGTGGATTACTAAATACTTGTTCGTCGATTCACTCCCCAAGACCAGTAATAAGAATCACTCAACACTGATCCCAGATATACACCGAGTCCTATTACCAATCAAATCGAAGAATAAAAAGGTAGCAGAAGCATAAAATACTAAGACAGGAAGTTGTGATTACCTTGATATGAATGTGTCATCTAGTAAAAAATAATACTGCACCACTGTAGGCTCTATCAAAAAGACATGGAATTACATCCTACCATACTTAAACTTTTAACCTTTTTCTAGCCTAACCTTACTGCAGATGTTATCGTTCGTCTGAGTGAATGGTGACTAGACAACTGTAGAGCATGCTTCAGTTAATTGAGATTTACAACCTCATCAAATGACTTACATCTTCTGGCTAAGACTGGCCAGAGGCTCTATATTAGAAAAGTGATGGTCCCACGATATATTGCCAATTCTATTATGACAAGCCTTTTCATGCCCTTCACTTTGAATGTCCATACCCAACAGTCATAGAATAGAAGACAAAGAAGTGATGAGTAGTAGAATTCATTCTCATCGACGTCGTAGGTGGTGTAAACTGGTGAAAGCCCTCGTCACCAACTGATCCATCAAGACTGATTCAACTTTCTAAGTAGGTGAAGTGGCCAACACTATCAACCACTTTCCTATCTATCCCAATCAACGGGAGCAAATAGACTCCATCGCCTGACAATTATCCGCAGTGAGAATTCAATGTCTAGCTTTACTCTATAACCATTGAGCGCACAATCTTAAACCAAAGGTTAGTATGGTGGTTTTTCATGGGAATCACTTGTTGTGGTTTGAGCATCTAAACGGCATCACAACCCTTGAATAAACTATGCAAGACCTTTGATAAATTATGCAACTTTTCGAATGCTACATCACCGTAAATTTAATTCATTCGTTAATGGTCTTTTAACAACTATCACTAATTTTACCATACGTAACATTTTGAGTGAATACACAATTTTCTTTTACAACTTGCATGCCAGTAATAGACCTGATGTAGTTACTCTGAAACCAATTGTGTTTTGAGCGCATCACTTTTAACACCAAATTCTGATGCGAGTCAGAAAACAGATGGATTAAGCTACAAATCACGGGAATACCATCTTTGCTTCAATGTAGTACCACGGATAAGTTGATCTGCGCTGCTTCAATATGAAGTTTTTACTCTTATCCATGGATTTGACCTGATCAGTTTGAAACCGTGATATCATCAGGACATGTACTGTCGTAGAAAATACCTACTTTATATGTTACTAGATTGTATGATTCAGTTTAGGAGAAGGGTACCAGGCAAGACAGGTAAGTCAGTCAATGAGGTTGGGAACATTCAGCGACTGAATTGAACTTTTGCTGCGGATCTCAAGCCACCACCTACGTGTACAATGCTAGCAGAAGTTGGGTTAGGTTGGAAGAAGGCTCAAGTTGGTCAGACTAAGAAGTGACACTATTCCATGAAGTCTGACAGTCAGTGTAAGCCGTGTAAGAGGGTGTAGAGTGTCTGATTGGGGTCCTCGGGACGATAGAAATAACTGTTTGGAGACCGTCGGTGATATAGCTGAAAATCGATCTCAATGGTGCAGATGTACTTACTTTTTGACGCTCTAGAAAGTTTTAATTTTTGCTAGCCTTGTTATTCAGATTCTTTCTTCTCCCATGCGCCTTTGCCTAGTCTTCTATCACTATTATTGCGACTACTCGTCATCTTCATGCTGCTGTGAAGTGTGGCAACTTGAACTAATGCACTTGTGTATCAGGTTCTAAGTTGATTTTCCCCTGTCTGTCCATCTGCTTGTACATAGTCGGACATTTAGTTCGTGTGATCAGTCCTATCTTTGAAACCAGTTCTGACTGAGGGTGTTTAATTAATTGAGCAGCTCAATAGCGTAGGAGTCTAGTTATTAGTCTGAAATCAACTGATTGTGTAAGGGGTTTACGATGGAATAAGATTTGAACTCGGAAGTCTGCTCGAAGGTCAAATACTCAAGTTGATGAGCCACATTTGCAGAAGAGTGGGGTGTATTAGGATTTCTCGTCGTCATTCGATCTGTTAGTTGAATATCACTTATTTGATTACAGTTCGCGTTTAGTTGTATTTGGACTGCAGTAGATAGAGGAGTTGGAAAAAGCAATAATTAGACATTATTTCCCGTGCTAACTACTCATTGTAATTAGAATATGCAGACTGACAGAGAAACGGCGAAAGGCAACTCATAACTTCACACAGAAGTAAATTAGTTTGAGCTACTACTCAGAGACTTCATGGACTAGTCTCATGTCTTGGTCTAGCTATCCTGAACTTTCTTCTAGCCCAACCCAACTTCTGCTAGCATTGTACACGTCGGCATACGTGGTGGCTCGGTATACCCAGTCGCTGAATGTTCCCAACCTTATCGACTGACTTGTCTGTCGTATCCAGTATCCACCTAACCTCGACATTGCTCACATGGTGATTTCCCACTATATGAGCAGTGATGTAGAGACACCTATGGTCACATTTGCTACTTTCAACAACCGTATCTCACAGCAGTATGAGAACAAACAAAATTGTAGCGCAGGATACTCATCCTTTAACAGATAGTCGGATATCTTACCGGCGTCAGATATGACGTAGATTAGTGAACGCCAAATTAGCCTTCTGTATCCAAGCTGAGACTGTCAGCAACCAGCCCGTTTAGGCTGATGCGACTCCCCAAGTGAGGTAGTCATCGGATTCAACCACTTTTCTTCCTATCCTTCAACTGAGAGCAGGTGCACACCAGTCCTGAAGCATATTTTTACATTTGACAACCTAAAATGCATGCTTAACATACTCAGGTTTCTGCTCGATGCGCTCAGAAGACCCCTACTTTGCCAGTGTTATCAACTAGCGGGATAGTATCATTTGCGTACTCCATGTCGACCAGATACCCTCCTGTGAATTCGGACGTCCCTAAGGTTATTTCCATTAATATACCTATAACGAAGTTAAATAGTAACAATAATAGCTGGTATCCCTGGCGGACACTGCTAATTGCCGTCAAATGAGAAGATAACTCTCTATATGGCTGCATGGATTCGGAGAGAGAGGGACGAATAGCACAATATACTTTCTCGGTGCTTTCTTAACAGTCGAACACCATAGCAACACTTCATCATCAAGATCAACATGGGACCAGGGATCACTGTGTAACGATCCAAGTTGTCACACCTCATATCACCACAACAAGTAACAAGGCAATAAAACGGAAGATGAAGAGAGTAAAAATCGGTCAAAGGAAGCAGAAGTAGTAAAAAAGAGGAAGGAGGAATGAGAAAATGATGAGTTTAAGCAAAGCAGTTAAGATGAGGGTAATGCGTGTATAAATGTGCCACTGACATCGACTTTGAACCATATCACCTAGAGTCTCCAACCACTGGTTTCTTTCGTCCCACAGACCAACCAGCTAATCTGCATTGCCTTACATGGCTCAAACCAACAGTCACAGGCTTCATATATTGATGCCATGTTTTAGTCTGGCCGCCCCGAGCCTTTTATCAGCTGGAGCATACTTCAGTTAACATTGCACGATGAGCCAGACGATGACTAGGCATGGGTAACACACGTCCACATCAATTGACGTACCTCTCCTCCCTAAAACTTTACACCTAACTTCTGCGTTACTCATATGGTGACACCACGACATAGTCTATGCTACAAAGGCGACGGTGCTTAAGCATCTGAAACTTAATAGCGGGTTCACAGCGAGAGTAGGGCAGAGTGAACTGCAGTACAGTGCACTCGACTCTTAGTAAACAATTGGATGTCACGAAGATGCCATAAATGACGCAAGTAGGCGTAAGCTAAGTGAACCTTTTGCATGCGTGCAGAGACTACATCAGCCACTAACCCACTAGGGCTGATTCGACCTTTCAAGTAAGTGAAGTGTTCAACGTACTCAATCACTTCGCTCTCCACTGTTAACCGGAGCACCGCTAAAACCAGTCCTGGATCAACAACTTGCATTCGGGTGGCGAGAAACGTATCCCAAGCACTCTCAAATCGCCGCTCAATGTGTCCAGAAGATCCCAGAGTGTGTCAGCGTCTCCACCTAACATCATTATGTCATCTGTGTACTTTGGGTGTATCAAGGATTCTCCTATGATCAAATCAATCCATGAGAAGGGAGGAAAAGAGGAAGACCTCTGTAATAAAGTCTTTGATAAACTGAATAAAAATGGAGAGTAAATATCCCTGAAGGACACCACTTGACATAAACGACTCATCTGACAACTCACCATGGGCTCTAACACACCCACGGGTGTTCGAGTACAGAGCTTTCAACACAGTGATAAACTTACTGGGCACCCTCTTCAGTGAGAGACACTGCCATAAGATACCTCGATCGGCAGAGCTGAATGCTGTCTTTAGGTCAAGAAATACATATTGTCAGGCATCAGTAAGTGTGCCTGTTTCCCAGAACATAGCAGAGAGTGAATATCTTGTCGAGACGCTCACGACCTGATTACAAAACTGTCTGGTTTTCTTTGGTTCGCTTTTCCTAAGTTTCACTACAATGCCTGATACTTGTAGAATCTAGAATTTTAATTTTCCTCAGGCTGATTCTCCTGTGGTTATCACAGAAGGACTTTTCACCTTTCTTGAAAACTGGGATAGTCAGTGTTTGAGACCGATTAGAGAGGATCATATAACACTCCCATACAGTAGCTAACACTTTAGTGAATGTGAACGATAATGCCCCACTTCTGTCTTTAAATACCTCCAGTACTGGTTTGTCTAGTCCTATAGCTTTTCCTCGTCTCAGATTGTTTAGAGCTTTCTCGACTTCAACAAGTATTTAGGGTCCTACCTATACGTTACACTCAGTATCCAACTAAATAGCAGGCAACGGGACAGTAGCTGGAGGTCAGTCAAACTTTTCCTTGGAGTGTTTTGCTCATTGTTCCAGTCGACTCCTGTGCGAGTGGATCGTAGACCCATCCTTTCCCACCACAGCCTTACTAACCACTCACCTCTTCGTACAACTTTCCTTGATCAGTCTACTGTTACCGACCATCGCTGCTTATTGTCTCCATAGCCTTCGTTAATCACCACTGCTTGTGGTCATTGCGTAGACTTCTTGCCAGTTTAGATTCAAGTTGCTTCTGCTTCTCATTGTGACTGTTGTCTTCAGGGATGCGTTTGTGTGCATCTGCTAATTCAGAAGCTGCCGAGATCCGGTAGCTCTACCCAGCAACTTTCTGACAGTTAGCTGCTGTCTTCAACGCTGTTTCTACAGCAGACTACAGATGACGTCGGGCTTCTTACGGGTGAGCGATGTTACTCCGTACAGATAACTCTCTACCCAACTTCTCAGTGAAGACAGACTTAGTATTCTAATAGCCAGGTTGCACGCGAAATGGTTTTGTTGCTGTAGTTTTACCACATCTATTTAGGTGTAGACACTCATGCTTAAACCAATGCATGGTCGCTTCCAAAACGTGTTCCAGAAGGAATGTCTTCCACCGATTCTCTCTAGTAATGACTGGTAGCAATATGGTTTATTTGCATCTGCCGTTAAGACTGCTGGACTTCACTCCAGACAATGTCTGTATGTTTGAAGTTTATGGCGGTCATAAGTAGATGGTTGTCTGAACACAGTTACAGTAGGTGGTCGCCTTTATCTGTTAGTTAGGCTGAGATTCCGAAAGTGCTACTCAAGTACCTTTCTGTCAGACTTAGCCTACTTACTAATGCATCGAAATCACCTGCTACAACCACATCTGGGCGTTTAGCATTTATTAGGAGCCTCGACAATTTTAGTAACGAAAACGAAAAAGGAACACCAGTCAGGATAAAGATGTAGACAATACAGATCTATCTATACCAGTAATATCGTCTCTAGAACAACGAGGCTTTTAAACATTGCAAACTTAAGGCAATTATGTGGCTGAATAATAGATGGGAGATCTCAGCGTGAAGATGTCATCAGAAGATAGTGAGTTGATTTCCAAGACATTTTTTATAGTTCATCAATCAATAAATAATTGCGCCGAAGTGATACGTAACCTAAAGGGTGAAAGTGCTGTGTTACAGTGATTAACCTGCCAGCTGAATAGCTGAAATCAGAAGCAAGGGAAAAATTCGACATCACAAAGACTTATTTCGGAGGTGTTAGTACGTCGACATCAAAGTTGGGATAGCAATGTATTGAACTAGACGAGATTTGTTTGATAATCAAAACAGTAAGTCTGACAACTAAAACACCCAACTTTTGCATCTAGTTGAGCAATAATACACCTTAGTATATCGGTCTGGGTTGGAAAGTCCGTAAGGACACCTGAATAGCGAGGCTGACATTTCAATATGCAAAGTCAATTCACTTTATGAAGCTAGAGGTAAGCACATAAACAGCACTTCGCTCAACATATGGTTGAATTTCACAACTTACCAATATAAATTAAGCAGATATTAAATCATCATTATTATTCCAACACAAGCTTGGTACGTGGACAAATTAACAGCAATATTATGAAAACATCGAAAGCAGAAACGAAAACGTGAGTTTTGAAAGAAGGCTGAGATTTATCCAAAGGAGTACTCACTACTTTTGTTTCCTATTTCAGGGATATGAGGAACGAGAAAACTGCAGCAGTCATCACTGGTCTCGACTGAGTCAAGTGTGCTACTGTCTCAAGTTTCTGTGTTGCATGATCTTACAGGTTTCATTCAGGTTTTGAGGCACATACACATGCTAGGCTAACACATCCTTCATTCCACAGCATCAAGTCACACTAGTCACCTCTCCGCTTCTTCCGAACAGTCCCGGGGCAAGCGGACAGTGAGCGGTATGGGATCCGTTGAGATGACATGAGTAACATGTCTGAGTCACTAAGGTCAGTGTCTGAAGATTATCTAGCCCAATCAATTACGATCACCACATCCCAATTCACCCTATTTAGTTACATGGTGTTTTTACCGGGTGAGCAATTTAACAGAGGCAGTAGTGGGGAGGATCCCCACTTCAGAGAGGCCAGGTTTCACAGGCTTATAGGAAATTGGCCCCCAGCAACCATGAGAACGCAATACCTCACGTTTCTCTATTGTCTTGTGGATCAGGCTCCAACTGAAAGGCTCGGAGAGTGCTCTTAAGACAAGCATCTGCTTCGACCTAGGCGCCCAGCAAGTACCGCAACCTGTAATCACTTTATGAAGCAGCAAGTTAAGCAGGTATAGGGACACCCACCTAGTGGGAGATACCAGGACGAAACATCGGAAAAATCGAAACACTCAGGAACCCTGAGCAGGTTCATGTGGAAGGCAGTGAACCACACTTATTGTGTGAGTACAGATGACACTACCTGGCTGCTCAAACCGCGGTAAGTGGAGCGAAGTCCGGACCCGTGACCCACTGGTTGGAAATCAAGTGCCTAAACCCATGCGCACAGCTCCGGAACGAAAACAATGCATCGGAGATCCTGAAAACCAGACATTGGTATTACAGAGCTACTGCAGGTCATAGGCCACCAATCATCGGAGTTTTTCTAAATTCCAATTAAATTCGGATGTAGTAACGTCAGGAATATGCAGAAGAGTGGGAAATCTTAACCAATATAGAACTGAAAACAACTACACTACCAAAAAAATGCATGAAGTGCGTTGATACCAGTTATCGTTTCACTTATTAGTGTCACCCAAAAAGACTACTCCATCAAGTGTTGAAACGCAAGGTTACCAAGATCTAAGTAATAGTTAGGCAGAGATGGGTTCAAGTACGGAGTATGAAGAATGATAAAAACATAGCACCACAACACCAACTTACCAAGCCATACCCCCAACTTCTGTCTTCTTCGGTGGTTATATCAGCGACATAGGCCAAAGCAAATGAAAACGTCACTGCAAAAATACCCGATATACTGATCATAGTGAAGTACCACCAGTGACTGATTTTCATCAGCGGAATAGGAGAGCAGGTAAAGGTGACTGTGAGGAGCAAGAATGGCTTTCGCCCAAACATATCAGACAGAGCACCCAAAAACGGTGCACTGAAGAACGATAAGAAACCCTTCACTCCATGAATGATCCCATTCATTAGAAACGTATGTTTCGGAAATGTTTCATCCAACACCTAAGTGTAATAAATAAATCTACAAGAAGCATACCGAGATCATTGGGGTGGTCAATAACCCAAAAGCGAAAAACTCTAAAAATATCACAATTGCTGCATGATAGACGGTGGGAGTAGACCAGCATGTCTTTTCCTGATAAAGATGTAAGAATTAAGAACATATTACCTCTGGTTTGTGATCACCAGATATAGTAAGACGCCTCCTATTGGCCATTATTTAGCATACATCTGTCATATTGTGTAAACGTAAGTCAATGCGCCTTATTCGAACCTGGCGCTTGTATAAATAGTTCTAATAGTTGTTGACGGAACAATAGCTCTCTCTAAACATCTGTTACCAGGCTTTCCAGTACCTCGGACAGTATGGAAAGTAATGCTATTGGTTTGCAGCTGCGTGGGACTTTTCTGTCTCCTGAAGACTGGTGAAAAGCTAGTACCGTTCCATTCTTCGGGGAGTTGGCTTGCTTCTAATAAGTGCTTGAAGAGGTTGCATATTGGTATGCTTAGCACTTCGGTACAATTCTATTGGATCACCGGTCTTATGACGTCTCAGCCCGGAGATTTCCACATTCTGAGAATTGAAAGTTTCGCAGGCACTTGGTTTGGTGAAATTTTTACGTCTGTCAGATTTGCATCGCAGTTCTAGAACTTCGTTGCATTACTGGATGTCAATGGTGGATGCCTCACTGTATTCAGCTGCCTTCAAATTGGCTGCCCAACAGGTTCGCTGTTTCACTGCCATTGGAGGGTTTTCCGTTTGGTCCTGCAATCCGGTCTAAACCTTTATTCGTCGGTTTTCGTTGTGACATAAACCGGTGTAAGCTTTCCGGGCTGTAACTCAGCTTTTTGGCCAGGTTGTTCTGGTGTTCATACATGTCATTACGAACACTTGTAATAGTGAAGTTGAGCAACTTCTTGTGACCATGGAAGCCTGATTCCTTGTGTGATGTATGCCACCGATACCATGCCACCTCTTCCCTTTCTGTTTGCCTTTGGGTTGGGCGAATTACCCAAGACCATTCGAGAAATGGCCCTCTGGCAGTTCCAGAGCACTCTTTTCGATAGCGCTCCAGATGATATCTGTAGTATGTATCTAGTGCTCGTCTATCGGTGGTGAGCGCCATTCGTGTGGCCACCGACCCTCCAGGAGCTCGTTATTCACGAGCTGGTAGCCTGCCTATCTGTAACAGCGGAACGCTTCTGGCCCACCTATTGGTGATTTCCCTATATATCAAGGAATATCCCACCAAAGCGTGATCACTCTTACCTAAGAAGGGTTGGACATAAATATCGTCCACCCAAAGGTCATCCACTGTTGGAATGTAGTCGGGTGGTGATCCCTTTCTAGCTGGCGTTTTCCTTTACTTTCTTTATTACTTCCTCTGCCGTAAATGCTTTCTGAAGTCCATGTTCAAAAGGCTCACGTCCACAGCCTACTTCACACTCCTGGTTGAGCGCCGGTGTATTGAAGTCTCCAGCGAGAGCTACACGGCCATAGGCCGCTGAGGTGGAGTTCGAAATGGCGGTAAGCAGCTGTGCCTTATGTCTTATGCATAAAGGAGGCCTGCATACCACTCCTAATGGGCGCTTTGTTTGGTGTATAGTGAAATAGCGCCAAAATGAGTCTGGCAATTGACCAAACACATCATCAGTCGCTTCCTTGACTTCTAGGCACGTGATAATGTATATGGCCACTCTTTCACCTTTTTTGAATTCCCTGTCCTTTCCCGACAAGGCTATGCTAGGTAAAGATATTTCCCCGTTAGGATGTCTCTTGGGGACCACATCTCCGTGACGAAAATCACATCTGCCCGCAGGTTACAGTACATTGTTCTTAGCTCCAGTAGTTTGCCTTTAAGACCTCTCACATTACTGTAGAAGCATATCAGGAGGCTGGGCCTTTGACTTGGCGCTGTACAGGAACTTGTGTGGGGGCCAGTGTGCAGTCGCATCCATTTTTTGGTTCTTTCTGGTGTTCTGGTGTCAGTGTGATGGGGGTGTTCATTATTATGTCCGTAAGCACTAGTCCACTAGATAGTTCTTTCGTGACCAGTACTGTTTGTAGTGTTCTTGGTGGTAGCCTCCTATCTCCCAGTCTAGCGGACCGTCATTTATCCCTTCCTGTCTGATCTTCACCCAGCACCATGCTGAAAGGGTTTCTGTGAGTGAAGCCCTGGAGTCGAAGTACAAAGCTAGCAACCTTGGCCAACAGATGCCCTGCGGGTTAGTAGGTCTTGGTAATCTACTCACCTTGCTGGCAGACAAATTTTCTGGTCCCGTTTTCGCTGCTAGCCATCCCCACTGTTCGACATCATGGAGGTAATTATCACAGTTCGTGGACTCACCCATTTGCCCTAGTATTCCACACATTATCATGGCCGCCGCTTTGTGCAGGTCACTAAGCGAGGACTTTCTATCTGCCTCCCTGGTGACCTATGGTTTATCTGGCTTCGCTTTTATGACACAGGAGCCTTCAGTATCTGGTCAGTGCGATAGCGGCAGTATGTCCTCGGACTGTTTCGCTGCCATCTGCGATACCCTGAGAGGTGGTGGTTCATAACAAGGTGCCCTACCTCCCTTGAAGGCCAGCACAAACCAGCTGCAATAGGTTCTATTCCTAGCCTCTTGCAGTGGTCCTCTCTTTTTCTTCTCGTTGGACTGCTCTTTTTTTGCTGAGAGTGCTTTGGTGTGGAGGCACTGAACAGAACGACGTAGTCCGTTCTCTTGTCCCGTGGGTGCAAGGTATCGGGCTCCTTAGCCGACGCTTTCGGAGTTGCCTTTCCTGTTTTTACTTCCATCCATTTTTTCTCAACACAGTCTGCTTCATCAAGTTGAGCTTCGCTGGGTCGTCCAGACCAGTAATAATTTTTATCCCTGGATATACAGGCATGCACCATCTTTACAAGTGTAAATAGGTTACTATGTAAATTACACGTATCTTTGTGGCAGGCAATACCATTCCTCGCCCATTGTCACCGGAAGATATGTGCTGCATGTTTATATAATAGAACACCACAGCAGGATGAGTGTGCAAAAATTTACAAGTTCGACAAGTGGAAGCATTGTCTTCGTGGTAACAAAGGACACTAGGTTTGTATCCCGAAATTACATGTATTATCTGGAGAAAAATAAAGCCTGAAGCCAGTACTTTCGTTCTAGCAGCTTATTTTTTGCCTGAGATAATTGTGAGAAGTTTATGAGGGAGTGTATAGACAAGTTGTCCATTCATTGTCCCGCATTGATGATCCCAGAAATGTACAATTCATGTATGTTAGTAACATTTCACATCAAAGATTCATAATCTTGCTGAATATTACTAGTGAGAGCCAAACGTCTTCACTTTTCCAACTCCAGCATCCAGAAGCAATTGGCCTGTTTGAATGCGTCAAGTGGACCTCCAGGACATCTTGTCCGCCGTTTTCACGAGTCGTGACAGCATTGTGATCAGTGAGTACTGGGCTTTTCTGATCACCTTCATAATCAATAAATCCTAGGTTTTGATAAGTGTGAAGCTTTAGTCCAGTGGACACTCTTTGTTTCTCTTTGTTGTAGTTGGATATTGTGAACCCACCAACACTGGCTACCCTCCATGGAGGGCAGTTTCAAACAAGGTCTGTTCCTTGAATAATTAATTTTCGATGACAACGAGCCAACAGTTAGGACTGAGTTGCTTTTCTACAATGAGAAGAAACCGAAACAGGGCGGCAGGGAGAGAAGGAAGCAAGAATTCGAACTAGAAGTATGTTTCCTACGTCTGTTGCACAGGCACGAAAATTAGGGGCTCTATTGGTACCTTACTTGGAGTGTGAACCGGTAGGTTTCTATGTTTTGAAGTGGCACCTTTAAGAACCCGCAGAGCTTATCACGTTTCTGCGAGTGGATTTCGGGAGCTCGTGTTTTTTAGTACCTTCAGTAGTAGCAGGTTCCTCGGTCTCCCGGTTATAATAGTATGTAATTTTCGACACTCTGGATACACCACATCCACTTACATGAGCGCTTCCCCATGAAGCTGCAGTACCGTCTGTTGCGTGTGTTTTGATTTTGTTCGTGCAATGTATTCAAAAACGCTGACCACTCATTATATTCGACTTCATTCAGTTTTCTTATACAACCATATTTAACCACTTTCCTCGATTAGTGTTATCACTGTATTTCGTTTCAGGCTGGAACTGCAGTAGCCGTCAAAACCGAAGGTTTGTAACTGAGTTTTGTACATACATTTTGTTGTAAGGAACAAATTTCACAGGGTTCGCTTACTGTTTGAATATGTATTCATGGCTTGGTAACCAACTGCTTTGGATTTGGCTGGTTTCGTTTTAGGTTTGGGAACTCTGGAAGTTCGTACCTTCGTTACGCAATACTCCGTGGATTTAACGTAACACTGTCATGGTACACCCTCATCACAATTACAGGGAACTCGTTTCGGACAACTGTCGCATCCAGAGGCTTCTTGAGCCCCCGAGACTGGTGCATTGCAAACACTGTAGCTGTCAGACGTTTACTCCTTGTCAGCGTTTGAACAGTCTGCTTTTGTGAGCTAAGGTCTACTATAGTGTGTGTCGGTATGCTCACCTGTCAACACGCACGTTTCACCTGTCCTCCTCTTTTAATCAACAGGGTGTTTAGGGAGTACCACCACCACTCTGACCGCATTAGTTTACCAGTCTGAGTAAGTAACGCGTCTGGCGTGACTGTCATACGGGGATCTCGGATGCTGTGGGCACTGTCATGCCTGTCCCCCCTGCGCAGACTAAATTCTGTTCGTCTGGGACTCCGTTATACGAGTTGCAGCTTGTGACCTAGTTTTCCGTGCCATCATAGTTAAGTGGCGGAAAATAGACGGATTCTTTAAAGGCCAGGAAGAAGAAGGCGTATGGTAGATACGTTACTCTCAGGAGTCTAATACTTGATCTTTCACACTTTATCGGCAACTTTAGCCAAATACTTCACGTGCGTATGTACAGACAAGGAAGATGTTTCTTGGTGAATGAACCGCGAGGAGAGCCAAAAACCATAGCATTTGGGCGATTCAGGTGGTTGCAACTCACCAGCAGGAAGTATTTTCGCGTCGAGGAGATAGTTACGCCGTTGTAAGTGGCAATTCTCACATCCATTAGATCGACTGAGTTGCGTTCACTGTTACAACGTGGCTGACAACCGTTTTTTGGCTATAATCACCGAAGTGTCGCTTTTAGATTAGGGTTGAACACAGCA